GCTTTTCTTCCCCTGCATCGCAAATCCATCCCATGCACAGTATCTTATTACTGAATAGTCCACATTGCCTAACCCTCAGTAAACGAACACGGGGAATGCTTTCTTTGTATTCGATATTCTTATTTATTTCAGTTGAGTTTGACTCAAACAGCATAATATTATTTTAAATATCATTATGTTTAATTACATTAAACCACGTTACGTGGTAGAAAAAAAAATATTATTGTTTAGTAAAAGTAAAATTTTGTTTCCAATCATTATTTTTAAAAATTTATTTTCAAAAATTATTTTCATTATGTTTGATTTTTTATATGTAAGATTTTAATATAATTTTGTTATATTTCAAATTTTGCTCCACTGAATTGAATAATTATGTGTTATGTGATGAAAATGTAAAAAAAATATTATTTTGGAAGTTTTATTTTTTAATCTAATTTATTGTTTAAACTAATGGATATAATATTTCATAAATCAGAACATCAGTAGTTCATTAATATACATATGGTCGATATCCGTTATTGATTATTGTTATATTATTTTCGACGAATACTACTAAGTATGGCACAAGAGAAAAATGTTTGAACATTGTATATTATACATTTAAGCATAACGTAACTACGTATATCATGAGAGAGCTAATTGCTATCACTATGTCCTAGTTCGTTATTGAAATCAAACAAGTAAAGAAAAAAGATCGTCAGTGATGCGAAAATAGCAATATTAAATTTCTAAGACAAAAAATTACAGACATATAATGGAAACAGATGGAATAAAAAGGACAATTATTAAGGGAAAGGTTGATTTCAATATCGACATAAAATGAAGCGTTACAGTGCAGAACTGAAGTATCATTAAGTTGCAAGAACGTGATATAATAACTTTAGTATAACATTGCACAAAAGACCTCACACATATCGGTCATTTGTCAGTCATGATAGATGTTATTTGTACGAACTATAATTTGGTATTCGACATTGTGTAAAAGGACGCGTGTTTGCTAGACGGGTGGGCCAGATCCCGACGTGACCAGGTTACGTTAATGGTACGTTAGTAGTCATTCAGGAGAATTAGTGGTTATCCCAAGAAGTGCGAACACTGAAATTCTACAAAATCTGTCTATCTGACTTGGGTTTTTCCTGCGTTTGCCGTAAAGAACAAAAATATTGTTACGTGATCGATAATAATCCCCTCGGCAATTTTGCACAGCGAGAGAGTAGCTTCGTTTTTTCAGCACAAAGGAGTTAACAAAAGGCGAGAAAATCTCGCGACTGGAGACAGAACAGCAGGAATAAAGAAGGGCAACTAACAGAGAGAAATAAGAGGAGTAAGAAGCAGAAGTAGCAGAAGAAGAGGAAGAACAAGAATATAAGAAGAGTTGGTGGTAGTAGTAGAAGAAAAAGAAAAAGAAGAAGGCAGAGAGAGTCGTGTGTTGGGCTCGCGGTAGGAAATAAGAAAGTGGCGAATCGTTCAAACGGGCGTGCTCGCTGCTCGCGCATTGGTGCACTGTTGTGCGCGATGTGTGTACAGTCGCCATGTTGAATATCCCCACTTCCGTTCCACGTGTCGAGTACCTACACACGTGCTGGCACCGTCGCGACCACACGCCGTCTTCGGTAGGGCGAGAAATCGAGCCTCACCGGCTCCGCCATGGGGGCTGGTTGTTCCCGGCGAAAGGAGCACGGGGAGGGGATCAGGAAGGGGATGAGGCAGTGGGAGAGGGCGAGTGACTGAAAAAGTATGAGGATTTAACCCTTTGAAGCATAGTGGTAAGTGTATTTACCACCTATTTATTCTCACATTTTCATGAAATATTTTATATTTGAGGGATTCTCGTCGGGTTTTTTGCGTTTTTTGGCTTCTTATATGATACGGGAACATACATGAAAGGTGGAAAAGTATTTTGTATAAGTTGTCCACTTATTATAAATAAACAAAGTGTGAAAAATACACATTTTTACAGAAAAAAATCATTTTTCACGAACTATGAGTGAATTTTTTGCTCAAAATCAAGATTTGGGGGATTTTTGGGCCGCTGATTACGAACCTGAGGTCCAAATTCCAACATTAATTTTCCAAGATGGCGTATCATATTTGTGGCCGCCATCTTTAATCCGCCGTCTTGAATTTTGAAAATCTGATAACGGATTCGTAATCAGCGGCTCCAAAAACCCTACAATACCTACTATCACCGAAATTATCGCGACTTTTCATTTTTGCGTCCGCCATCTTGGATCCGGTATCTTGAATTTCGAAAATCTGATAACGGAATCGTCATCAGCGACTCCAGAAACCCCCGTATATAAATTTTCATGTGATTCGGATTTTCTGAAAAATACATGCCTCAAGGGTTAAGGGGTTGAGTACAATTTCAGAAAGCCAGCTATCGCAGCTTCCTCTAATAGAAGCCGATTCTGATGACGCCTTTGCGTCGTGCGGACGGGACGGTATTTATAAGGGCACAAAGCGAACCCTCCTCTTCGACCTGAATTATAACCGTAACGTATGCTGCGAGAGAAAGGTCTGCATCCCTCAGTCCATTGTATCTCACAGAAAGCGTAATTTTATAATAGAAATATCATACGTACGGAACATACAATAACAATGCTCTATTTGTTCTCTTCCTCAATGACTGTGGTTCAAAATTTTGGTCGATAAGACTATCAAAGAGAGAAAGGCTTTCTCTTTTTGCTAAAGCTCACGATCGGAGAGAATGCTTCGTAAACGATTTCTTTCTTGATCAATACGTGGATTCGTCTCCGGGTCTGGACGAGAGCTGAAGAGTAGAAAAATGAAGCAGAAGAAGAGGAGGGTACACTCTACAACGTGACAGGATTTAACGTGTGCGCGCAGCGTGCTATTAAATAAGCATGATTGGAAGTATAATGATGCAGGTCGTTAATCTCGAAGCGCCTGCATTTGTACGCGTCGTAAATGCCGCTCGATAACGTTCGGACATATGTAACGCGGAAAGTTAATCGATTATTCCCGATGAGATGGACGAGGGATTGAATGCTTCCAATTTCGCGCGATACGGCGATTTGCCGAGCGTCTCCGGGCCGTCGTATCCTTCGATACGCCGATTGAATCGTTTCAATTCTGATTAGACGCAGCGATTTAGCGCGGAATTTATCGTCGTTGATAGATTCGCCCAACTCTCTCCTGCCGCCTCGCCCCGTCGTCTCTCACGACGAGATATTTCTTCTTGCAACATATCGCAGCAGGCCGATATCGACTTGCAGTACCGGTGAACGTAGTTTGCACGTGCTACGCCATACGCCTTTAATAATAGTGTTGCGGCAACGCAATGGTAAGAAGTAAAAGGCAAAAGTAAAGACTCTTTTAACATTTGAACTTCAACGACACGAATATGTCACCAGTCAGAGGTCTGCAAAGTTTTTATACCACTGACACTTCTGGCTGACGTCGCACTTGTAACAGTTGACGTCGAGTCAACTTTTGCGACCATCATCTCGGCGAACGTTATGTCGATTTGCAGCTGACACTATGATAGATGTAGAAGGACCTTTGTAATAAAGAATGAAAAAGAAAAATGGTTTAAGAAAAAAAGAAAGAATTCTAAAGAATCATCAGAATGAACAGAAGCCCATTACCGCCCAGTAAGTGGACTGAAATCAAGAAATGGATTTTGGAGTCTGAATTGGTATTCAGAAACGACTTTGTATGAAAGCTAGAAAGAGAATTCCCAGACCTTCAGTCGCTCCAGATTGTGTCAAATATCGATCATCATTGAGCAGATGAATTTGCGCAATTATAGTCACAAACCCGTGAAAAATACATTCATCACCTCATCGCTTACTGACAAGCTGAACAATAGTCAAGGTGGAGAGGACACTATTCACTGCTACACACGCTTTAACGAAAACGGTTTTTCTAACGGCAGGTTCTGACGAGCTCGTTTAAATGAGATCAAAACACACAAAGGATGTGTGTTTGTCCGGGAAGATTTATTGAATTAGCGGATTAAAAATTTTAATGCTTCAGATAGGTTTCGACATAGTAGGTAGTTTATTTGGAAACATGCGAATTATTTCGCATTGTCATCGGCGATATAGACAGACACATGTTTTCGTTCTTTTTATGGATTTTTTTATGGCCTTGCCTTTGGAGAATATCTACGGTTACAAGGGAACCTTCCTACGATCTCGAATGAGTTTGGATACGAGTAAGGATACGACGCAACGTCTCTGTCCTACCGCGTCTCGTTCTTCCAGTAGAAGTGGACGGGGGTGGAGTGATGGGGAGGGCCGAGGCGGGGAAACGACGGGACGCGGGTGGGAGAGAGAGCCCAGACATATTAATTAAACGACTCATTTTCATCGCACGACAAAAACGTGAGTTTAACGCCCATCGTCGACTAATGCGTCGCCCCATTGCAACTCCTACGTACCTTGAGGAACCGCGGTAGTCGCGCTTGATGTTCGGCTCCGATGCTGATCGCGAGCACGGTGCAACGGCCAATCGGATGCGAGTTGTGCACGCCTAGGCAGCACGAACCGTGCCGAGAAACGCCCATCTGCGCTCGATTTTCACGATCCCCCTCTCATATACGCTCCGACGAGTCGCGGGTAGGGGTGCTGCGCGCTCACACTGGATCTGGGATCGGGGAAGCCCCCACCACGTCTCGGTGAGCGACTCGTTTAGTCTGTAATTTGCTCAAACACTAGTAAGCTCTCGCGCCAGAAACATCCGTCAGAGCTTGTGCTCGGTGCTCGCTCTCGCCCGCGAGAGCTGAATTCCACGGAAACGCGCGACGTGTCCGCTCCATTTGACGCTCGCTGTCACGAATTACGGAAAAGTCGCTGCTGTCTCTCTCTCTCTCTCTCTTTCTCTCTCTCTCTCTCTCTCTCTCTTTCCTTCTCTCTCTCTCTCTCTCTCTTTCTCTCTCCTTCTCTCTCTTTCTCTCCTTCTCTCTCTTTCTCTCCTTTTCTCTTTCTCTCTCTCTCTCTCTCTCTCTCTCTCTCTCTCTCTCTCTCCGTGTTTCTCTTCTCTTTCTCTCATTCTTACTCGTTTTCCGCGCGCCCAAGTCAATAGCGCGCTCGCGACCAGGTCGATGGAGTGTCGGGCGTGACCTACGAGTGAGTGTCGTGAACCTTGGAGCCAGTGCGTAGGCGTTCGTGACGTCAGTTGGTGAAGCAACGGGACGTGTTTGGACGCGGACTAGGAGCCGTGCGTTGTTTTTGGCACGGTGATTACTATTGGCCGGTTGCAATATCACGGATAGCGGTTCCAGTGATGCGTGAACACGGTGCTGGGACCTGGGATTAGTGAGAGTGACTGTTGGAATTGCCGCTAATACCAACCTGAGCAATTGAAGCGAGCGGTCCTGTCGGAGTAGGTTAAATGGTCCAACAACGGTGTCGAAAGTAGTACCTTTGGAGGGTTCTCGGCAAAAACATTTCTAGACTGTGAGAAACAACCCCGAGGACTTCGCTGTTAAGGAAGACAGGTATCGTCGGTATAGTGAGTGCTTCAGTAAGTGACAGTGATAAGAATAATACGACAGTGTCGGATTGGAAGGACGCCTAGAAGCGCGCGTCGGGTCTGTGAAGGGCGGGCCTTACAAAGATGTGGCGATCCTAATCCCGGAAGAGGACGTTGCTCGCTAGTCCAGACGAAGTGGATTGTTCAATCGCGAAGCGTACGATAATCGTACGATGATGCCGCTCGCGCCGACGCCAATCGTCCCGGTGCCATCCAAGCCGAAGATCGGCTTTAGCATCGACTCGATAGTCGGTGGTGGCGGGCAGGGTCGCGAGGACCGGCTGGATCGGCTGGAGCGCGTCGAGATCGAGCGCGACGATGGCAGCCCGATGGAGGTAGTCGAGGACTCGTCGTCGCCACGGGCACGCCGAGTCGCCGCGAGATCACCTGGTACTCATTCCGAGGGTTCCGACAGGCCCATCTCCCGGAGTTCCTCCGTCGAGTCTTACCCGAACTCGCGGCGGACACCGTCGCATGCCAGTAGCGCCGGCGGCGGCCATCATCACCACGGCAATCACCACGGTCACCACCACCCGCACCACCATCATCACCTGTCGACGGCCGCGCACCTGGACTTTGGTCGTACGACCGTGCACAGCCACAGCGGCGGCTCCACACCCAACAACAGCCCCAGTCCGCCACACAGGATATCGCACGGCGACTCGCCGATCAGCTCGCACCCCCAGCCACCCCCCGGAGTGGTCAGACCCAGCCCGAACTACATCGCGCCACCGTCTAGTATGGCAGCAGTGGCGGCAGCCGAGCAGCTCAAATCCCTCTACGGTTTGCCCAGCCACGGTCCAGCCGGTCCGCAGACAGGTCAAAACGAGTATCACTCGCAGCATTTGGCCTTGGCTGCGAATCTGGCCGCGGCTCAGGCCAATTTCCAAGCGGCGAATCTCGCAGTCGCGCTCCAGGCGCACCAAGGCACCGCGCCGCACGGACCTCCTCACGGCCATTATCCGCACGGAGGCACTCCGGCTGGACCCCACCCACCGCCGCATCCGCACCAGACGCCCAGAGACAGTTACCCCCTGTATCCCTGGTTGCTGTCCAGGCACGGCAGAATCTTCCCGCATAGATTCGGAGGTATGCGGAAATGTGAATGGTGCGAGTCGCATGTTCCAATGATGTCGTCCTTTCAGCTACTATACCGTCCCTATACTATGGCATACTAATACAATGGCATTCCGTTAAACGGTCGTTTACGACCCAAGTGCCGCTATAATGGTTCTCGATAGGGACAGTTTTTCAAATAGCAAAGTAGAACACTGTCCTCCCACGCAAAACATGTCTCAAAAACGTTCTATTTCTTTTACACACCGTTTAGAGGTATTTAGAACGATTTTTGGGCACGTGCGTTGCGTGGGACGATATCGACGTGTCTCACTAATTTATGTATAAAGCATAATCAAATGAGCGTAATGAGTTAAGTCGATAAAGAAGCAATGCAATGCAATGCAATGCAATGCAATGCAATGCAATGCAATGTGCTGGCAAATGTATGCGTCATTTATTGATTACGCTTATTTACCGCGTATCGATGACTCAAGTATTGAAGATTAATTAGCGGAATTTGGTGTGATGATGTTAATTGATCGTCCGAAACACTATCACAACACTTTTCTTGGACAACTTACATTGAGAGTCACGTGCACATCAGTGTACTTGAGTAGCTTGATTGTTGCCAAACAAGGCAGTCTGTGCTGATTTGTTTCGATGTCTTTCTGCAACTTGTACTTGTATGTTTGTTATCAGTCTATTACCTTTTAATAACTTAGCCACGATGAATTACACGGTGTGTGAAGTAACAGAAGCTGGACGCGCTGCTATTATGCATTGCGCGTTCAGCGGCAAAGCTGCGCACGGCTCTCTTTGGGGTTCCGCGTCCGGCTCAGGTATGACGCAAGGGTTTGACTTAACGAGTATTCGTTCAGCCGCTCGGATTTTCGTCGAACATTCGGAGCTCAGGTATTCGTGTTGGGCGCGGGCCTAGGGATATTTGGGGTCAATTGCAACAATCCACCGGACACTTGAAACTACACTATTTATCAGATATGGTTTTTTTCCCAAAAAGGAGTGGAACTCATGTTGATCTTCGTGAAACAGTCTTATACGATATCGTCAGAGTAGACGCCAAGGGTTTTAGGCATTGTAAACATTGTGGACGGTAGAAACGGAAGAATCGAGATACAAATTAAGCAGGGACTGTCGAGAGAAAGCCGACACGGGAATAGACAGGATGCGATAAGGTGTAGCAGTCATAAAAACTACGCGTTTTAGCAGGTTCGTAGAAACTGCCGCAATATATATGACTTGCTGATTGAATTCAGGTGCGCGGATTTGCGAGATTATCCATATGGGATCATAAGAGTGTTAGTACAATAGGCATTTGCACATCACGCGTTGCAGCTTTCCGACAGTCACTAGTCATTAACCGTTGCCAACCTGTACTTACAATATTCAGTATCCTCTTAAACCTTCCTAACCCGATTTTCCTGCTTCTAAAAAGGTGACCACAAGAAGGAAACGTCAAACCTCGATTATGGGATTGTGGGATATAATCATGCAGTGCGATAAAGCAACAGTCCAATTTAAGTTTACAAATATTTTTTTATTTATAAGCACAATACGTGCACTCTGCGGCATAAAAAATTGATAAGTGCTGTAAACAGACTGTTTATTGACAAGATTATCTCTTTCAAGTCATAACGATACGCGACGGTGGGTAAACTGAATCCAATTTTCGAAGGTCAAATACGAAATTACTTCAAAACTACACGACGTAACAGAGAATTAATGGACGACGTGGCGGGCCTTATGAATCCAATGATTTATACAACGTTGATTAAAAACGGCCACTTTATCTTTCTACTGACTTCTATATCAATATTTAGTCCCCAAACGCAGTTTCATGCTTCCGTCCCTCGGAGATATGTCAAAGAATGCGGACGTTTTTCTCCAACGTTATCGGGCTTTACGACTCTCGAGTACTGTCGTCGTCAAAGTCGCATGATTCAAGCCGATGATCGGCGCGATCGGGGAAGCGCGATTGCGTACTCAATTTATGATAATCATATCACTTATCATTCGGCGCACACGCTCCCGCTCATCGTTGCGTTACGCAAGTCTTTCGTAATTAGCATTTTGTAACGTTGTTGTCCTAGAGCGGCGGTTTCTTATCGTCCGCTAAGTCACACCGGGCAAAACAAATGTCGTAGTTTTTCTCCGCGTCTCTTGCGCGTCATAATTAATTTATTTTGATACGTTGATAACGCGTCAGTCCAATTATCCGCACTTATCGCTGTTCGTACTATTAACAGGAAACACAGAAGAAATATCGTCGCATTCCCAAGAGTGTTCGTTCCTTCCCTCCTCCTCCCTCCTCTCTCGCTCTTTCTCTTTCTCTCGCTCTTTCTCCTTCTATCTCTCTTTCTCGTTCTCTCGCTCTCCTCGCAGGCATCTCGATCGACTCCCCGCGGTTCGATCGTAGGTTTAGCGTGCGGCCGAAGCACGCGCGCGTGCACAAGTTTGTATGATGGATGACGCCTCTTATCGGTTACGCCGAGATAACGATTTCTGCCATTCGAGATGTATTATTGAACAATCTGAAATACACCCCGGAGACACGTTTAGCGTTTATGACGCGAGCGGAAACGACGACGGCGACGACGACGACGATTACGGCGACGGGCACGTAGCTGAGAGATTAATTTAGGTAGTGCGGAAGGTTCGACGGTCCGATCATTCGTATCGTAATCGACGTCTTATCTTCTTCTTTTACATTCCATCATGCCTCATCCGGCGATTAGCGGTATTAGGCAGTGGTATTTGTTGATGACGGATAACTCAGTCGGCGATTGTGAGCGCGAGATTAATCTTGGAATTGCAATTATTACATACTACGATACGGACGTTTACTTGGAAAAAGTAAGGGCGGTATTCATGCAGTCGGATCTTATACTTATGATCGCGTCCTTTCAGTTTATCTGAGATGCCGTACGAACCGTTTTGTTGGTTTGAAATATAACTGTGAAAAAAGAAAAGGCGGTATCGCATCGCGGATTGCCAGTTTCGCAGTAGAGCTGTTATTGATTTTAAATGCGGCTGTTTTTGTTCAGAGTGCACTTTGTGAACAATAATAAAGATGCCAATGCCGGCGCACGCGACCTTACACCCTCTGGACATTCTTACTGTTTTTAAATAAGGATATTTGAACTTATAACATACGATGCATAAATTGAACATTTATACATTTACTTCATGCTGAAAATTGAAATATTCATATTTAAAGGTGCAAACAATAAGAATGTCCAGAGTCAGACAGATTTCTCTTTTACCTCGCGGATTGATGTCTCTTTGCGCGACCGTAAGTTAGACTCGCGTATAATCGATCGTGAAAACTTACCGTCTCCTCTCCCCTCCCCCCTCCGATTCGCTTCGATCGTCAATTAGTGGCGTACGGGCTGCGCCGGCAAGTTCGTCGAACCTCTTCCGTGGAATTTTCGAACACCGCCGGCAGCAGGATCGTCCGTCTCGCGGACTTTCTGCAAACCTGCGAGCTTAATCGGCCGGCAATCAGGCAACGCAGGCCTCGTTTAGAGTTACTTACGAGGTCGGCCAGGCCCACGAGGGGCGGGCATGCGGAGAGAAGATAGAGCATCCCCGGCAGGTAGAGAAGACAATTATCATAAATTTACCGCAATCGGCACGTATGCGGGATGAGGCGTGCCACCCGGTAGAGAAATATACCAAGAGACGTCGCGAAACTAGTTTCGCCTGAAAGAAGATCCAACAACGACCGCCATATTAGTCCCCGGCGTGTTTTTTCTGCTCTCGAGTGTTTTTTTCTCTTTCTCCCTTTCCGCAGACTTTTTTTTCTGTAGCAACAACTCGCGACAGTGTTGATCTGTGCTTTAAAGAATGCACGATAACGCGAGCGATACTCGGAGATTTCAGCGTCTACGATTTCCCAGCAATCCTTTGATATATCTCTGAGTTCTTTAGTTCTGTGACACAATAAAGTTCTCTCGGAAAGACTGGATGCGAATGTTTATTTTATTACGCGCAGAAAATTGCACGCTCGAAGTGGTTTTCTCTCGCAAATACACAGAGAAGAAGTTTTCTTGGTAGTATCTAATATACTTTGATTATTTTTTATTATTTTTATCAACAAGGTCTGCGTAAAGTGTCTTACAAGATTTGGTCCAATTTTTTATAAAGATAGACTTTTTTTGTCGCAGTAAGTACGATGTTGCGATATTTTCCACAGACGTGAGAGAAAAAGTTTATAATAACGTTTTATATTTTACAAACCTTATCAGTTTAAATTGGTTTAAATGAAACAATATAATATTAAAACGATATAATACAGAGCATCACATTTTTATTTTACTATAATTAATTTTTTTGTCGCTTTGTTGGAAGAAAATCGTGTTCGTTAATTTCAAACATAAGTTCACTTGAATCATCTCACTAAATTTCCTTTTGAATTAAAAAAAATTTTTTGAATGCAAATAAATCTTTCTTCATGTGAAAAGTCAACGATATTATCGAAAACGTTGCATATTCATCTGTCCCGTGAATTTCGCGTCTCTGCTTTTCGCCGAAGGAATTGCAAGAAACTTTATTCCTACAATGTTCTTAATAAACGACTTTATCAACGGCATCTTTTCAGATAAATTTCTCGCAAAGGAATACAAGAAATAAATAAACAAACACGCAGTTAAAGGTCCCCTTCGTGCTTTCCATTCTGAACGAGTCCTTCATTCAAGCCTCCGCGCGAAATCGTAGATATTCGCGGTGATAAATGACTTTTTAAATAACGATCGCTCGAGCGAGTCGAGGCGATTATCCGCGCTGAAGTGTCAGGCTTAAGATAACGCGCAGTCGAGAGACAGAGAGACGAACTGCGGCAGGGCGTGAGATATAACCGCGAATATCTTCCACGTTGGGAATTGCGCGAGATCTCGTGCACCGATCGCGTTTCAAAGTAATAAAAGCATAGTGGGCAAGGGAGACAGAGAAGGGAGAAAAGAGTAGAATAGAGAGAAAGAGAGACGGTCTGTGCGATGCAGCCGATCAGAGCT